CTTAGATAGAAAACTTTGTATCAATTTGACTGTATGATCTGGTTGAACTGTAAAGTGCCTTGAGATGACATGTGTTGTGAATTTGGCGCTATATAAAAAAACTGAATTGAAATTGAAAATTGTAAATGGTGTTGAGAACCAAGTTCAGCACAGTTAACTGTTCCAATCTCGGTCTGAGCTTGGCACGGATTGGTTTCAGAGGGGTAGTATAAATGGAACAAAATAAAGCTCTCAGAGTCCTCAAGAAGCATTTTAAAATGTTGCAAATAAAAACAAGTATAGCTTTTGTGTAAGGCTTGTTTGCACAATTGTTAAGCATGTTGTAGGTGAGTTTATTGGCTTGCACTTGTTTTAAATTCCATGACCTGGATATTCCACATATACCATAGTATAAACACTACTGGAGCAACCTAGAACGATGTGGAAGCATGACCCAAAGTGGGGAATTCACTTGGTTAATTCTCTCAGGAAAACCATCAACTCAGCAACAAAAGGTTTAAAAAAGAAAATATAGCTGCATCCAAATGAATGCCATTAACACGTGTTCACAAAATCACCTTTTTTGTTGTGTGGTAACATTTACTGAAGAGTAACAATCTACAGCATTTTTAGATCCTAGATATTGATTTTAATTTATTTTTTTTGCTAAGTTTCAGTGGATCTTTACCCCTTTCCTCTGCATAGGCCAGAAGAGGAACCCCCGAGGAGCTGGGCTGCTGACAGGGAGTGGGGCCATTGACAAGCAGCCATTTCTTGTTGTCTTTTTTAAAGTCAACGAGGTGCGATTGCGCAGCACTCGCTCAGCAAATGGACAAAAAGGAAGACAGTCCCACCGCTCCAAACAGCAGAAGGCTGTCCAAGAGGCACTGAAGGCAGCAGAGGCTGTAACAGGTACTCAAACTTTGGATGTTACCAGAATAGAGAGAACAACTCCCTGATCTTTTGAGTTTAAACTTTGGCAATGCATGTTTCAGAAACCCTTGGACTGTCGAAAGAGGCATGTAAGAAACATGAGCTGTATGTCAGCTTCAGAGATTTAGGATGGCAGGTAAAATACTAAAAAATTTGATTTTACACAATTTTGTGACATTGTTGGTTACTTATTAGGTACTTTGCCTGTGGTTTTCCTCTAATTAGGACTGGATTATAGCACCAGAGGGCTACGCTGCTTATTACTGTGAGGGGGAATGTGCTTTTCCTCTCAACTCCGACATGAATGCCACCAATCATGCAATCGTGCAAACTCTGGTAAGTCCCCAACAGTCACTGGAAATATCTTCCCGACACGTTCTGTAGATCAACTTGTACCTCTTCCAACCACAGGTGCACTTCATCAACCCAGAGACAGTCCCCCAACCCTGCTGTGCCCCCACGCAGCTCCATGGCATCTCAGTGTTGTACTTCGACGACAGCTCCAACGTCATCCTCAAGAAGTACCGCAACATGGTGGTCAGAGCCTGTGGCTGCCATTAAACATTTTACCAACTTACAAATGACTTTTGCAAGTCTGAAGAGATGACTAAAGACAGAAGGATGAGTCTCTGTTCGGCAAAAGCTTGTGCCACGGTACAAACTTAATCTTGGACGAGTCATTGTGACTAGGAGTCGCTACTGCAGACTGGAAGCTGCAAAGAGTTGTGAAGACTTTACAAGCACAAACTTAGAGGAAGTGTTCACAGTTTGCATGGGGTTGCATCTGAAGCATCACAGACTGAATTGCGATTGTTAAATATCTTCTGGAAAACAAGATTTTACTTAAAAACTTCAGCCATAATTGAGTGAATCTGGGTTTACCAAGTCAGGAATAAGATATGTGAGAGCTGGTGAAAGGAAGGTTTATTCAGATTAACACCCTCCAAAAAGGAGGCACATATTCCAATTCTTGGCTAATTCTCCATTAGCTTTACATTCACTGTGGCATCTATATGTTTGTGCCATGACACAACCTTTACGTTATTCAACGTTGCCTTAATTTGCACCACAAACTGGTAGAGGTGATAGAAACATCAAACTTCTGGTAAATTCTTCAGCACATTCCAAAGATTCTTAGTTGGGTTGTGGTCTGACTTTAAGCTACTTGAACTTAAACCCAGTGAATCCTTGCAGTATTGGTGGTTTTCAAAATGCAAAACAACTGTTTAAATTTTCCAATCCCTCGTGTTTTCTTCTTACCATGTGGGTAGAGATGCTAGTTTTACAATTTATCACAGTTATTTTTTTAAATAATGACAACATATTTTTTTCCAGCCACATTTCATCCACAAGGATTACAGTTCCTTAATGATATTCCTATTAACAAGAAAAGAATAAAATGTGTTGGATGTTCCAACAGGCCAATAATTTGACCTATCCTTTTTCCACCACCAAAGGATAAATGTTCTTACATGATTGTTTGTGAATTGAGAAACTACTTACCACATCAGCTAAAGATCAACAGCTTGTAATCCATGCAGTAATTATCTAGCTGGAGGTAATTACGTTTTTTCTTTGTTCAGTCCAGGTGGTGACATTTCTTTGGACAAGCAATGTATATTTTGAAAGGTTTCCGTAATTCATCTTCATGGCACCCATCACTTACATGCAGCAATTGCTTTGAGGTGTCAAACCAGAGCAGCAGATCAGCTGTGTATTTATTTTGTCTCATTAAAAAGGTCAAATGGAAAAAACTGATGCAGGTCTTGTTTTTATCTGCAATGACATTTTTTTCCTTGGGTTTATAGACCTTTATATTTCAGAAATTGCACATGAACAAAGTACTCAAAGCCAACTCTAAACCATTATTTCTATTTACCTGAAAGTCTTTTTTAATGTGATCATTAGTTTGCAAAACATCATGTCTGTTTTATCCACTAATTTCGGTTAGGCCACCAAATGTTGTAAAGCATCCACTCAAGATAACAACAGCAAGCAAATGTATACTCTGTCTGAGCTGTGATTGAAGTGATTTTAACACGGTGACATTTTTGGAGAATTATACCAAACATTGCATTTATTTTTATCTTCAAATTACATGAACTTACATAGCATGTTAAGTCATTATGAAAAGGTGTGAGATAATTTCAAAATATGTAATCTATGAGTGCGCAACAAAGAAGTCATGCCCTTGGTGGTAACCTAAATCTGCCATGTCAAAAGCCACCACTGCTTTTTAGCTGTGATAATGAATCCAGATGAGAATGCTGTTTTATAATAAAGATAATCAATATAACCCCCTTAATCCTTATCTCTCACAAACGGTAGCAGATAAGAAATTATACAAACTATGGAAAACTATGCATTTCATGTATGTCAGGAGGAGTTATTCTAAATTATGAAAGAACACTTCGAGTTCATCTTAAGGTAAGATGTGCATTTGTGCTGATAAAGGAAGGCTAGATGTAATCGGTGAACAGGTGTTGAATATTAACTGAACATAAATAAATTATGAAAACTGAATGAATATGGTTAGATTCTAGTAAGGACTCTTCTTTATTCACTAGTATTTATCTGCTGAGACTATTGCTGATACTCTTTACTGACACTGATACTTTTTATTTCATTTCAATCTCTTTTATGAAATCCTAAACCTGAAAAGTTTTTCTCATCCAGTCAAAACATGACAAGTGGAGATCACTGCCTGATGCGAATGGTTACAGATAAATTCACACAATTCACACTTTAATTTTATCCTGTTAAATTGATTTGTTTTTTTTTTAATGCAATTTATGCTTTAAAAAATTCCCCAAAAAACAAAAAACAAACCCCAACAAAAACAGCTAAATCTTCCTCTTGCTTCCTAAATATTGTGTCAGCTGAAAGTTACAAACACAAATCCTTAATTGCAGAGGTAGAAGCTTTCATAATCTTGCAATACAGAATAAACTGGTTGATAAACGACCCGTGTTATTTGGCAGTAAAGAGCTGAACCTTAAATGCAGAAAAAATAACTTAGGCAGAAATTTCCTGTATTTTTCAACTAAATATGACCTGATATAGTTAGAAAGACAAGAAATCTCAACTGTACTGTAAATATCACTGAGGCAACATCAGTTCATGCTTTGGTTCCATTATCCCTTAACAACAGTTTATGCAACCTATAACCCTGAGAGGTGAGCTCACTGTAGCTGTCCTCTTTAACTGGGACTTTTTTTGTAAGCCAAGATGAACAACAAGTTAAGCACAAAAAAAAAATAATTCAGGAGGTAGAAAGACAGACGCTGATTACAGCAGATGTAAGGAGAAACCAATGGTCCTCTGTGCCTCACAAGAGCAATTATACCCCTTCGATTTTTACTTTTGTCACATTATAGCTGTATTGGGCTTTGATAGAACACTGGAAACATCTATATAACAGAAAATTATTCTTGGCTTTCATTTTTTTATGTCAGATGTTTATGCTTTTTTTATTCAGCTCTTCTAAGTAAATACTATATGAACCGGTATTTGCTACAATTACAGCAAAAAAGAGCTATATTTTCCTAGAGTTTTATTGTCATTATACTATCACAAGTGCAGAACAACGAAATTCACTGTCTGCTTTTAATCCATTCCCTTGGGGAGCAATGGGCCGCCCTTGTTCGGCGCCCGGTGAGCAGTGTGGGGTTAGAGGTTTTGGCTCAGGAACCCAGAGAGGCAGTCTGTGGGAGTGGGTTTCAAACTCACAACCTCAGGATTCCAAGTTCTATGCCCTAACGACAAGACAGCCACTCCCCAAATGCAATATGGGGACTCCCTATATAGAAATGCCCTGTAATTATTGTCATCTATCATCATAATCCAGCTTCAATGCACTGCTTCCCAGAGTAAGATGCTGCCACCACTCTGCTCCACACTGGGGGCAGTGTGTTTCGGATGAAGAGCAGTGGAAGGGCCTCAAAGTTTGAATTTTGTCTCTTCTGATTAGAAGAAGTTAGTTTACCTTGCTCCCTAGACGTTGTAAGAGGAACTTAATCCTTGATCTGTGATATTTGGTCATATTGAGGCTGTGTTCACTAATGAGGCCAACATTGAGAAGCTGGATTTATACCATATTAAACTAAACAAGTTGGACTCTGTTTACTTCTTTTGTGAGCTTTGAATTCATTTGGATGGCCTTGATAAAGGCCACAAGCCAAGATGTATTGGTTGGTGAGTAAAGCTGAATTGATGTACTTCAATTCTAGCTGATTTTCACCTCCTCTGAATTAGATGTTATAAATGAAGCATTAATGCATGGCTCTTTTCAGATATTTCTTGAAAGAGATCTTCTAGGATCTTCTACCGATTTGTCTCAATTTCTTATTAATTTCTTTCTTTGAATTGGCTAATCACAGAAAAAGCCCAACAAGTTGTAAGGGTTGTGGTTTCAATATGACAACATGAAAAAGTTGAAGAGGTGTGAATACTTTTGTGAAGCAATACAAATCTTGTGAGAACCGTTAATATTAATTTTTTTGTACAGTTGAGTTGTCACAAGTAGTCTAATCTCATGGGGCTGAATAGTGCCTCCTGCGGGACACCTTGACCTCTGTTATCTGCTCCACTGCATGCTCCTTGAGCTCAAGTGGAACCTGGCTGTACAGGGCAGTGTTTGCCTTTGGTTGGTCGCAACTGATCTCTGACTTTTCGGGTGCAGTTTTTGGCCCCAGGAAGTCTGACAACAGTGGCTTGGTAGCAGTGACAGGCGTGAGGGCCAAGCACACGTCTCCCACACTGAGCTGGCGGCACTGCAGGCCACATAGACGGGCGGTCCTCTGAGGGCTGCAAGATGACCATCCATGTCCTCGTACAAAGAATGGGTACTCCACATACACATCCACCAACTCCTTAAGGAAGGAAGTACACACAGACACAGGGTAGCAAGTTACTCAGTGTTAACATTTTGTTCTATTGAGCAGAGTGAATTTGTGCAAAATTATAGCTGCAAGTGTTTACAGATGTAGCTTAAAATACTCAACCACAGCTGCAAATCTAATTTACTGGCAAAATTAAGTTGTTCAGGTGTTTGATATAAAAAGCAACTAAAACCATTAACAAAAACAAGAAAGCAAATTTTGAACAGCTGAATAAAATGGTTTAGTCCAACTGCGACATAAAACCAGTCATTACTATATTCGTCAAATTATTCAACCAGGTGTGTGGATTCCTTCAGAAGAGAAGCAGCTGTTGGCTTGAGACTGACTGCAGGCTCAATGCCTATGGTGAGAATGGTGACTTTTTACTGCATGATAGAACTTTGACAGAATAAACAAAAGTAACAGGGAGAAGAGCTAGATGATACAGCTGGAAACAATAGGCACATTTAATGTAATATAAAAAGTGCCTACGCCACCTGCTGGCAGAAACAGGAAGCTTTCAATGACAACAGCCAGTTCCAGGGCATGTAGGTAAACACAAACTCTTGACTGACAGAAAAGGAGCTGCAGTAAATGAAGTTTTGCTTTCCACAATAAGCTAAATAATAAACAATAAAGAACTCCATGAATCTGGATCTGGATCTTTTGGAGCTGATGGATGGATGGATGGATGGATGGATGGATGGATGGATGGATGGATGGATGGATGGATGGATGGATGGATGGATGGAAGGACAGATGTGAGACAGATGGATGGAAGGACAGATGATTCGATTATTATTTTCTCTGGAGTTTAAATTCCGTAAAAATTCAAAAAAATATCCACTGGACTTGGTTTCCACTGGACTATGACCTGGATGACTGAGAACCTTCATCAGCATCTGGAGTTTAAAGCATCTAGAAATAACACTGTATCTGTTGTTAAATATGGTGGTGGTCATTGATGCTTTAAGGCTGATTAGTTGAGATTTAAAAAGACTCGGCTGGAGCATAAAAACAAAAGTATATTAAAGGAAACAAAACCTTAAGCAAGTAGCAGTTTAAATACAGCTAACATGCTTTATAAATAAAACAAATGTCAATTGATACAAGGCATGTCCAAAGTCCTGCAGGCGTTAGAGCTTCCCCTGCTTTAGCACAGCTGATTTCTACTGATAGCTGATTAATAGGCTTTTGCTGATCTCGAATCATTAGATTTAGCTGTGATTTAGCTGTATGTCAGCAGCCAATGAGGACCGACGTTGGACATGCCTGGTTTATACATAACTCTGTTGTACTGTTGATGCCATTAGATGTGTTTTGGTATCATTTAGTTGTTGGGAGTATGAGCTTAACATTTTCATCAATCTTTACAAGCTGGTATTTTAGAGTTGAAAAGATCTGAGAAAATGTTTGAAAGCTATCTGTGATTTCTGGTCTGTAGCTTCACCAGGTATTCACAGAATGCAAAAGAATAGAATTAGTCATATGTATGGTTTGAGTAAATTTTTTTTATATTCTAAAATATGTGCATATATTTCAATTATGCACAATTGATTTAATGGGCTAATGAAAAAAAGTTATATATAAGTAATTGATAGAAATTGAATATCCTAATGCAATGTAAATCTATCAAAACAAGAACTAAAAGAAGTGTATTTTTTATGTTTAGCTGTAACTAAACTTAAAGTTCAATCAATTCGCCCGCAAAGGTCTATTACAGCGAAAAGCTCAATGTCAGCTCATTGAAAAGAGCAGTAATGTCATTTTGAAACACTTTATGTTTGAAAATACATTCGTGGTAGATTCATTTCTAACAGTCTTTTCTAACTGAAAACAAGGGGCTAGAAGCCCATAGGGCTGTTTGATGAGTTGATTTCCTTTGAGTTATGTCCATCTGAAATGCTCAGATTAAAAAAGTAAAAAAATATTTTGAATCATTTACAATTCTTGATAGAGCATTCGTGCATCAAGACAATTATTAACACTTCAGGTTTGAAAACATTGTTTATAGCTTATATGCTAAATGTCGATAGTCAGCTTCATACTTGAATTCACACTTAATATAGGTTTGACGTTAAACTGAATGAACCAGCATTTTACCTAACACATGATTGACAGAAAAAAAAAATACAAGATAAAATTAAAATTCAGGCTTTAGAAAGTTGAGGTGTCACATTGAAAAAAAACCTTGAAATTTCATTTATATTTTACAATCTATATTGTTTTGTTTGACCAGTTTATTGCAAAAAGCTGCTTGTTTGTATATTTTGCCAATGAACCTGGTTTGCAGTCGATGTGGAATCATTTTGAGTGTGTATTATAGGGGGGTATGGTGTTTTTTTTATCTCTCCATGCTCCCTTTTTTGTAAGAATATAAAAGAGTAAGAGAACCTGCAATAGTTTTAATGATTCATCTATGAACTGCAATGAAAAGAAAGTTGCATGACTGGCCATATAAAAGGACTATTAAAAGCTACTTGTGCAGAGGCTGTCGTGAATATAATAATAAATCCAGAGAGTGATTTACCCTCACCTGGGACTGTTGGTCGTGAAGCAGGATGAGGAGGCGGTAGACGGAGGAGGAGGAGGCCGATGGAGAGATGCTCTGGACTGTGCAGCAGCTCAGGCGCAGATCTGGACAGGCCAGAGATCCAAGGAGGAAGTCCTCTGTTTGCAGGTTCTCCACCCTCCTCAGGCGCCCGTCTCTGAGCTCGATCAGAGATCCTGCCACGAAGTGAGGAAGCAGCCAGGGAAAGTGATTTGGAGAGGTAAGAGAGGAAGAAGAATGTTCAGTGGAAGGGACAGCGGGAGATCTTTGCTTGTCTTCTATCATGGAGGTGCAGGAGCCGTTCAAGTTGTTAGGGGGAACTTTAATGAGGGATTGTCCAGACACAGGTATGGCTTTTTTTGATTTTGATGATAAATGATGCTTCAAAGGGGTGTCCTCATGTGTGGAGTGAGGTAAGTAAGTGCCTCCTTTTTCAGCCCTAAGTAAATCCTCAGTCCTCCTTTCTCCTCTCCTGGCATAGGGAACTTTATGCGTAGAATAGTTTTTGTCTTTTAATGTCTTGAGTCTCTCCCAGCCTCCATCCCCTCTGTGGATGCCTTCAGAGACCAGCGAGCTGGTGCTAAATCTAGACAAGAAGGGTGGATGTCCTGAGTGGACGGCACGTGTTCCAGATAGATGGTTTTGCAGTTGGTACTGATGGGAAAAATCCCAGACTGAAGGCAGAGGACTGAACTCTCTCCACTCTGCCCAGCCGTGGTGCTCTCTGAAAGCAGATGGGATGTGGTGTTTGGGCCGAGGAGCGGAATGTGTCTGCATCCAGGGTTGGTACAGAGCCGTAACTCGCCTCGCCACAGGTCGAAACAGACCTACATGTTTCGTCTTTAAGTCGCTGTGGCTTTTATACGGATAGGGTGCCTTGAAGTTTGTGGTGTCACACTCCAGCTGTTGCCTCTGCTGCTGCTGCTGCTGCTGAGGGGAGCTCACTCTTTGGTCTCTCTTTTTAAAAGGGAGGCTGTCCCTATCTGGGACAGGAGCTGGGCTTGTTGTAAAGCTCATTGCCTCACCTTTGGGTTATTCACTCCAAGAATACATAATTATCTGCTAAGGTAGAGCTGGTTTGGAGATTGTGTGTCAAAGTCTCCATTAGTCCATATCTCAGGTCCTCATGATCTAAGCAACAGAGACAGACATTAAGAAGGATATTTAGTCAGGGGTAATTCAGTCTTTCTAATAAGATCACAGGGTAATCAATGAAAACTTTTAGGATTGCAATCAAGAGTTATCAGGATAATCAGATATTAACCAGGTTAAATAAATCTCCATTGAAAAGCAACACAATACTAGTTAAATCACAGCAAAGGTATGCTCAGCCAAAATCCTCAAGGTGAAATGTTAAGCAATACACCACTACAAAGAAAAACATAATAATGATAATTATATGATACCTAAAACATTTAAATGCAAAAATGAAATAAATAAATGAAATCTGGTATGCTTATATCCAGACTCCCCCAAGTTAATAGCTTTCAGACTCACATTTCACTGCAATAAAAGCTGCAAGTCCAGTAGGATGGCACCGGCTTTCCTCTAGAGACCACATTTTTGGCCCAGTCTATTTTGCAAAAATAGTTAAAGTTCAGTCAGGTTGTGTGAAGGACGTCTTCAAGCATCAATTTCCCTTTGAAACATTCCCAGCCTTAGATCTTGAACATTCTAACATAAGAAGACCATGTTTATACATAAACCATTGCATAAATCCCTTTAAATAGAACACAACTCAATGTTTGTGCAATACTGCATTTTACACCACATTTCTTTATTTATTTTTGCACTGCACTAAAACTTTTCATATCTATGCCTTTTGTACTATGACTTTAAAGTGTTTTATCTATTCTCCTTCACTGTTTACATTCTGATCACTGCTGCACTTTCTAAATGCTAATATTCAGAGATGGCAAAAGTACTCACTTTCCGTACTTGAGTAAAAGTACAGATACT